AAGCGATACTCGCCTAACTTTTTAATGTCGCGACATTGAAGCGATGCTGAAGCCATAACAATGCCATAACGATGCCATAACGATGCGATGCTGAAGCGAAGCTGACGCTGAAGTGAAGCCAAAGCTTCTGCGAGAACTGTACTGTAGGCCAGGATAATGTATCAGAGACAGAGGTAGGCCAGGGTAATGTGTTAGAGACAGAAGTAGGCCAGGGTAATGTGTCAGAGACAGAGGTAGGCCAGGGTAATGTATGAGAGAGAGGTAGGCCAGGGTAATGTGTCAGAGACAGAGGTAGGCCTGGGTAATGTATCAGAGACAGAGGTAGGCCAGGGTAATGTTCAGAGACAGAGGTAGGCCAAGGTAATGTGTCAGAGACAGAGGTAGGCCAGGGTAATGTGTCAGAGACAGGTAGGCCAGGGTAATGTGTCAGAGACAGAGGTGAGCCAGGGTAATGTGTCAGAGACAGAGGTAGGCCAGGGTAATGTGTCAGGGACAGAGGTGAGCCAGGGTAATGTGTCAGAGACAGAGGTAGGCCAGGGTAATGTGTCAGGGACAGAGGTAGGCCAGGGTAATGTGTCAGGGACAGAGGTGAGCCAGGGTAATGTGTCAGAGACAGGTAGGCCAGGGTAATGTGTCAGAGACAGAGGTAGGCCAGGGTAATGTGTCAGGGACAGAGGTGAGCCAGGGTAATGTGTCAGAGACAGAGGTAGGCCAGGGTAATGTGTCAGGGACAGAGGTAGGCCAGGGTAATGTGTCAGAGACAGAGGTGAGCCAGGGTAATGTAAGAGACAGAGGTAGGCCAGGGTGATATGATAGCATGAAATCGTTGTACTTCATTTTAGCTTTCACACAAGACATTTTATCAAAATTTGGCTTTATCGCTCAAGGTGTTAAAGGTCAAGGGATTGACTAATCCCAGTAATGTGCATGTATATATCCATAAAAGGAAAATTATTTTGTTGTAGTCTGAAGAAAGCGAAAGTGAAAGTGAATCAGAAGACTCATCGACTGGAGTTAGAACCAGATCTAAAGTGTCCAGAAAGGTCAGTCTTGTTTCTCATTGGTGTTGCATATTGGGAAGGTTTTGAGTGATCTCTGATTGGACGTACAACATATTTAATAAAAAGATTCAATGAAAACCAATAACAATTTACACAACTTTGTATGAAATATGCACACATTTATTAGTTTGTAATTTTTAACTATTTATAATAATTAATTGCTTTTCTAATAGAGTGATTCATCCGAGGAGGACGATGAAGAAGATGATTTATTCAGCCCTAATGTTGGCAAACATTCAGCATCCGATGCGGATGATTCTGAAGAGGAGAATTACAGTCAAAAACTCAATGTAATGGAATCTAGCAAGCAGTTTTTCATTTGTTTGACGTGAAATGTTTCTCAGCTAAATAGCAAGATTTTTTTCAATTTCAGTTTTATGATTGAAAATTCCTCAATTTTTACTACAAATGTAATGCTTCTGTATTATAATTGTAATTTTCCAGAAGGGAGGTGGTTTTGCTGCTGAATTAGCAAGTAAGATAGGAGCCCCAGGTCCACGAGATGCATCGGATGAAGAAGATGAAGGGATGGAAGATTCAGTAAGACGAGAGAGGTCTGAAACGACATCTAGTAGAGAATCTCACAAAAAGAACAGGAAAAAGAAAGACAAAAAATCTAAAAAGGTCAAAGTGAAAGAAGAAAAGGATGATGGTAAATTTGATTTTTTACTTCATTCACAATTTTCTTGCATGTATTTGTGAGGGGGTGGTGGTATTGAACTAGTGAAGTTTATGTACACATATGAAAAAATGAATGCCTTCCACAGTAGACATCATTAAACACAGCATGTTAGAAAATTTTTCAGTTGTTGTTAAATTACATGTATGTTCAGTTGTTTTAAAATTATGTTAATTTGTTTCAAAATTTACAAAGAGAATTATAGAGAAAAATAAATAAAAATATGTTAAATTGTTACAATTATAATTCACCACAGATTTGTTTGGACCTCCTCCTATGGATGATGATTTGGAGGAAGATGATGACTCGCCATTTGGAAGGCAAGGGAAATTTAGCAGTGGTGGAGGACTCTTTGATGACGTTGATGAGGTGAGATTTATTCATATTCTTTTACCAGAAAACATCAGGGACTACTAACTTTGGGAATTTATTTTTGCGGATTTCACAGAAGCTTGTAGCACAATGTTTGTTTTGATTGACATTAAGGCCGTTCCATAAAGAAGTTGGAAGCGAATGCAATTCATAATTTTCATAAGAAAATAAATAATATATAATTTGATCTTAAGTACGTCATAAATTGACATGAGCTTCAAAAGAACACTTTATTTGTGTACATGTATGAAAGTTTTATTCATTTTCAACTTTGTTCATGAAACTTTGAAATAATTCATTATGGAAAGAGCACAGTGCCAACCAAACATAACATTACAAGCCCCTGTGAATTAGGGAAATAAATCTCCAGCTAAAATAAAGTAGTCCACAGTACTTTGATAATTTTATCATTGTTGTAAGCACCTCTTAATTTATTAACTTATGTTATTTGCAGGGGGGGCTGTTTGGTGAGCCGACTCTAAGGAACAAAGATCCCGTGAAAAAAGAAAAAACTGAAGAAGAAAAACCAACTGGTAAGTTTTGCTATATTTAAAATTCTTTGGTTAAAATTGGTTTTTAGAAAAGCCTTTCTGTCATCCCATACATGGATCTTGGTCATACACGAACAGATATCATTCAAATTTGGTTCACGCATTGACCTTGACGATACCATTTATTTTTTTATATATTAAAATGACCGTCTGATAGACATTTTATGTTAATGAATGCTGTTCCAGAGTCATATCCCTGACATGCTATTGACTGATTACAATCAAACTTTACAAATAAATTATACCTAATGTGTTACATAATGACAGGCATTCATTTCATGACACATCTTGGTTTGCTTTTTAGAATCAAAGAAAACGAAAAAGGATTCTGCATTAACCAAATCTGGGAGGAAAGTTCCAGCAGGAGCTGTGTCACTATTTGGTTCTGGAACTGATGATATGTTCTCCACCTCCAAAAAACAAGATGATGATGATGATGATGATAATGATAATGATGATGAGGTAAAACTGTTGATGATCAGAAGAGGTCATTTGTTATTACCGGGGTATAATATTTATGTGACCTAGAGTATCAATTCAATATTTACTGGTATGTACATTAATTTGGTGGCGGAAAAACCTAACATTTAAAATAATATTTAGATACTTCCCTACACCAATTGGAATTGAATGGATCCTATCCCCCCCTATAAATAATATAATAAAACAACTTTCCAGACATCAGCAGATTTTCCAAAATTAGTTTGTATGCTATTCAGCGTGTATGTATACACAGGGTTTTAGTAACCATGATGTATATAAATATTGCCATTTTAAAATATTAGTTGGTATCATTAATACATATAATAATTTGTAGGGAACAATCAAAATAAATGTCAGGAATTTGTTATTAGCTTTATTGTGATTTTCTACTTTATCGTGACTTTCACATTTTTTTACAGGCTGTAGAACCTGCTGCTAAAACTATAACATCAACAAAACCCCAACCCAAATCATTGAGTGGAGGGCTGTTTGATGATAATGAGGAGGAAGATGATCTCTTTGCACCTCCTCCAATGAAAACTACTTCAAAAAAAGGTGAATAGTTCTCTGTTCTTGTGGTGATCCAATTTACTGATCTCTACACAATGTTTAATGTGTATGTGTGTATGTATGTGTATTTGTCATTGTTTTCTTTTCACTAAACATCCTATTTGACATTTAATGTTGTCTATTGTTCTTTTCTGTGACAGCCAAGAAGCAAATTGATTTGTTTGGAGATGACGATGATAATGATGCTGAAGAAGGGGATGATCTCTTTTCACGGATGCCACCAAAAGAAGTTCCTGCACAAAAAACAGAGGAGAAAAAGAAAAAGGTTAGAACAAGTTTTTATAACTCTAAACTCAATAATATTATGTGACAGAACACCATGTCTTGGTCCAAATATTTTCATGAATGCAGTATGAGTATTCTCATCATGAATTACTAATTACACTTATTTTGTAATGTGTTAATATTGACAATGAGATTGTTCTATTTCAAATTGTACTGCAATTCTACATTTCAAATGAAGTCATTCATCAGTCAATCTGATACAAAATAACTGTCAAATGTCATTCTCCCCTGTGCTAATTGTGATTTTTTTTGGTTTAATTATGTACTAATGAATTAAAATTCTATCAGTTTCCCAGATGATGTCAATATTGTTGTTCTTTTTTTCTCAGCCTGTTGGTGGTGTGTCTGTATTCGGTGATTCTGATCCACTTGGTGAAAAGAAAAAAGCTGAAGCTCCTGTTAAACCAGACAAGAAAGAAACTGCTAAAGTCAAACCAAGTTCAAAGAAAGCGCCCTCTTCGGGAGCTTTATTTACAGATGATGGTGATCTTGATAATAATTTATTTTCTCCGCCTACACTTACCAGTACACAAAGGTTAGTCATGTTACTGTAACCATAGCAGTGTCCTTACCTCATTTTCTCTAATTTGTCATCGGTGGTGATGTACGCTGCTTCAATAAAATGATTCTGAGGTTTGTATTAATTTAAGAACTTAATTGAAATATAATTAAT